GGGTTGGTGTGACAATTAGTGAATATTTAAATGCTGGCTATTCATTGGAAATAGTCTGACAGTGATAGCCAAATACATTTCAGGCATGAGAAGAAAAAAAGTCTCACACAGATGAATAACTGACATCTGACCTGCTGTTCACTTCTTAAGCTGGAAAAAAATGCAATTGATATTGAACTGAAGTTGAAGCTGGGTACGAAAGTATAAAACACTGTTTCATGTTGCTGCATTGCCTTACTGTCTAATGTTCTTTTTATAAAATTGTTTTATTTGCTGGTTAAAATTGCATACTGAGGAGACGGGTACATACCTAGGACAAAACAACTGCCACAACCCATAAATGCTACAGAAAATAATTTAAACATTTGTAACATCTTGGCTGAAATTTCAAATTTCACAGAGTAACCCAATGTCTGTGCACATTTATAATAAAGCACATGTAATCTTTGTTGTGAAGTATTGAGACCAGCCTTAAGCTTTTTCTGGCGCACGTACACTGGCCTGGCGTTGGTGGGGAGCAGACTTCACAGAAGGCATTTCCCCCACAAAGGGAATATGAACCACCATTATATGGCTGCACAAACAAACACAAAGCCAGCCAAACAAAAAGAGTGTTAGCCTTAAGAAACAGAGTCCCAGCAAGATTATGAAGTCCTTCTCTCTGAAAACTGGGGGCTTGAGGCACAGAAATTCTTTGCCAAGGTACTACATCCAAACTCCAGTGGAAGATTAAATAGCTGTAGACCATGGCCATTTGGTCTTTATTCTCAGATAACCTCAAGATGAGGAAACCTTTCTCTTCTGAGAGAAAAGCAAACTGAAATTAAATGTTGACAACTGATGTTTACTAAGGATTATACCCTTACCCTGCTTTCTATTAAGTGACTCCTGTTGCTTAAGAAACCCAGTGCTAAGCCCTCAAAACAGATGACATCTTCCAACCCTGCATATTTCACAAAGCTTGAACACATTCAGAGGGAAAGAAAGTTTACATAAGACACAAAACAGATGTTTAATAAACTTGAGTAATCTGTCAGGGAAGTATGTTTTTGTCTTTCCAAAAGACAGCCACAAAAAGGAATCAACTATTTTCTTTCAGACACAATAAAGAGGACTTTGGTTTGGTTTTAATTAAAGAGACCGGATCCCAGCTGAAAAAAGACTACCTCCTGTGAGATACTTTGATCTCACCTTTGATGCTAGGGGAAAAGAAATAACTCTGACTTTCTACTTAGCATCAGGAGTATCTTTGTAGTCACATCAGCATCATCCACCCAGAGAGCAGGATATGATCAGTGACAAGAGTCGTCTCAGTCAGGGTTAAACCTGATCTAAGTCACTGGATCAGCCCAGCAGTCTAGCATGAGAATCAGTCATGTCTTCAGCACTACCTAGAAAGCAACAATAGTGACTGTCTGCTTTGGAATAGTTTTACATCAGTTTACTTCTGGCATTGAAGCAACTATAAAAGTAAATATAAAATAAATGGCACAGACACTGAAGATTAAAGGGTTTTCTTTCCCAGAGTGATCTGTAGTAGGTGCAACTATTTTAACTATCAGATATTTTTACTGTTCCTTAAAAATTGTATTTCTTTTTTACTTAAACTGGTTTGAATCTACATTAATTTGAATCTGTATTAAAGCAAACATTAAAAAAATCCCTCAGCTTTACTACAGTTTTATAGAATCAACCCCATTCTTTTCCAACTAACTTAGATGAGACTGGTAGAAGTAAAACCAGAGCAAAAACCAGCAGCACTGTACATCTCCACCCTCTTGTATAATCCACCACCTCTATTTGGCAGTGTTGGGTTTTGCAAGTCTTATGGTAGAAGTGTAAACCTTTCAAAATGCCCTATATCTACTTACACATGATTATCATTATGTACACAAGAGTGAAGAAAAAAAAAAAAAGCCTTTCCTCCTTTACATTAGTCATTTTAGGTAGAGCTGCTGTCCTCTTACCTAGCAGAAAGAGACTGTATTTGCTCATTCTATCACATAGTCAGAACTCAGCCAAACACCAGCTGAATGAGACCATCTGCAGTCTTCAGTTAGCAGATCTGACTAATCTTCCTGCAAACAATGCCGAAGTGGAAATTAGGAATGAAGAGACAAAAAACCATTCCACACTTGCATGCACCCCTCCATAAAGCTAACACCATCACCAGCAGCTGCACGTGCTGAATGGTCAGGAACTCTCAACTCATGCCCTGATTTTTCAGGCACTGATCACCTACAACTGCAGCTGAAGCCAGGTCTTGTCTGAGAGCTCACAACAGACTCAAACTAGAGGTAGAGAAATTCAGCCATAAAACGCTGAGTAGCTTAAAAGGAGAAAAGATAGTCTACATAATGTACCTTCTTATAGCACAATACACAAAAATGTGCTCGAAATGATAATTTTATACTTTCCTTTCACATTAAAGGCGGAAATACACAGTGAAAGTAACAGAGTCTTTTACTGAAAGCAGCAGTGCCTATCTTTCCCCTGCCTGATGGTCATGCAACCAGCTAACTGGATGTGTGTGAAAGATCCAGGATTACCTAATCAAGCTTTCTCACTGGCTTTTTGGAATATAGGTATGTTTGAAAATTCTGCAGTGAAAAATTGTTTGTTAACAGCAAGCAGTATGTAAGATTTTTCTCATGTACCCTTCCTTTTACCATACTATATTTGCAAAGATGGATGGAAAGGCCTTCAATGTGGCTTCTGTATTTCAAGTCTCCAATACAAACTCTCCACATATACTTCATTGGGTTTTTTTCTGGCAAAAAGTATCATTTACAGGCGTACATGAAGCTGTGTGGATCTCTCCATTCTGGCCCCAACTCCCCAGCCTGTGAGAATCTAATACAATGAGCCAAACATGGTATGATTATATAGCATCAAAAGACTAACAACTAAAGAATCAGTTTTCCTTTAGAAGGACAAATGACACCAGAGTTACCTCACTTTTAAACAGCTCCAAGAACAGCAGCACTACAGATAGCAATGGAAGTAGATCATGTTTTTGTCCTGTTTTGTTATATACAGCATAGACACAGATATCTGAAAGATTCTGCCTTAATAGAAATGATTCATTTGCATACAATTGGAGAAAATGGGTGGCCTAAGTGCAAGGGTGTTGAATCTTGTCTCCTGGAAGAGAATTTTAAAACAAAACAAAACCCAACAAACAAACAAACAAAAAAAAAAAATCCCAACATCCCAACAACCACAAAACAAAACAAAAACAAACCCAAGGAACACACCACACAGATAAGATCTTTCCATGGGGAAAAGATCTTTCCAGCTAAGAGGGGAAGGGGGTGGTGGCTGGGAGCTGATAGTGAACCTACAACAAAAGAAGCTGCGGAGTAGCAAGAAAGGAGGACTAGACAGATGGACAGTCCCAACTACTTCACAGCTTCCACCAAATTCAGGAAGAAGTAGCACCAGTATCAGTTTCTTTTACACAGACTTCATGAGCAAATTAAAACAATCAGAAAACACTGAAGTGATCTGAAGAGAGTTGTTGAAGCACCCAGGTCTTCCAGGTGCTGCTGAAGTTTAGAAACAAAAAGTAATCTTGATGTCTTCTAATACTGAATATTAAGAAAATACTGTTTGCTCAAACTCCCAAAAGTAGATGGAGTTACATGGGTGCACTGCACCCACATGTTACTTGTTTGCTTCTAAACAATTAAATGAAAGGGACCTAGTCTCAAAATGGTTCCTACCAATTGTCTGTTAAATAGAACCATTAACTCTTATAAATTGCACATTATTTCACTTGGTGACAGTTCAGGTCACACATCTGCTTGTCCAGAGAACTTACTTTCTACTCCAACAAAATCCAAGTCTGAGTACAGTTGTAACTGGGTCACAAACAGCAGCAGGGAGCAGGCCAAAAAGCATGTGCGTGTGTGTGTGTGTATACAAAACCAAGACAATCCAAACATTATAAACAGGTAAAAAATAGTTGTTTTAATGAGGATTTTCCTAATCAGAATTCCTTCACCTTTAATAGAAGGATAACATTTTTTCAGTGACTTCAGCACTTTCACAGAGCACTATATATATATATGTGTAAAATCTGTGTAGCTCACCAGTAACCCCCATTTCACAGAAGAGAAAGCTGAGCCAATGAAGGCATGGATGTTACCATAGCTACATAAAATGCAAGTAACAAAGGACGAAATTTGAACTCAGGTTTCCAGTTTCCTATTCACTGAACGGAGGACTTTGAAAAAAATAGACATTCCAGTACACTTTTAGAACAGCAACAGTGTTCAACAACCTTGCATGTTATCTAAACATGGTATATTAAAATCATTACTAGTTACTAACAGCTAGATCATGTAAAACAGAATTAGTCTTTGTATCAAAGCTAATTCAAACTAATTCATCTGATCACACACACACAAAAGCAGTAGTAAGTCCATTTCCTTGCCAGATAAAAACCAAGATTAATTTCAATGTGGTACAGAAAAACTTCAGATGACATTGTTTTGATTCTTTCCTTGCACTCAACCTGCCTGAGAGCACTTGGTGCCTCACACTGATACAAATTAGCAAAAACTTTGATGATTTCGGGTTACTATCCTGAAGACTTGCCAGCGGAAAAGAAAAAAAAAAAAAATCTGTGCAGATTATGGTTTACTGCATCAAGAGCAAAACTGCACCAAGAAAACATATCAAGAAAGTAGAAGAAACCACTAATGTAATATTTGAAGGAAAAAAAAAAACAACAAAAACCACCAAGGACTTTCACCTCTTCTGAAGCTGATCAGACAGAAACAGAATAGTAACTGTAATTTACAGCTTACTGCTTAAAGTTATTCTATTGCACCACCATCTATTTAATGCTGATGTAACATCCATTTTCTCCACAACATGAGTTCATTAGCCAAGGAATCACAGCTGACATAGAAAGAAAAGTGGTTCAAAACCAAATGTAGTTAGAAATGCCCAAATAATCTTTAGCCACCCCGCCCCAACCTCTACACCCTTACCGGAACATCAAAAGTTTCTTGTGTGTCATCCAGCATTTGAATTTTGATGGAGATGAGTTTTCCTGGAGGTGTTGTAGGTGGTTTCTGTCCATGCTCCAAGGTACTGATCCCAGCATTTTCCTGAGCTCCCAGCCGGGATCCTGCCGTTGGTCTCTGCTCTGTTTCACCCATGCTTAGGGAAACACGTTTCTTATAGCTGATAAAAGAATAAGGACAAAGAAGACCATGTAAATTCTAAGCAAGAGGTTTTGCACATGAGCATTTTGGTGTATATATATATACACTTAGAGGTAATAAACCATAGAACCATTAACACAAACTAACAGCCATTATGATTTTTTTTTTTAATGTCTCATATGAAGACAAGAAAAACAGGCAAATTTTATACTATTCAAAATAGAGAAGCCAGTCTATCATGGAAAGATACTCCGTTTCTCTTGGAAAAAGAAACAAGAGCACGTCAGAAAAAGACCACGGCAGAACTCACATTTCAATGAATTATGCTAAATTTTTATGTATTTACAAATCAGGCTGTTATCAGTCACAAATAGGGCTCCAAGAGGAGAGAGGAAGGTGAGGAAAGCAGGTGGGACAACTCTCCACTTGCCGACCATCATTCCTTCCTGGCATTTTTTCCCTTGGTCCTTGCAGCCTTCTCTGGCCCTTTGCAGCCACCACCTTGCTTAAGGGTTTGCAAAGCAGGAAAGCCAAAAGGGTACAAGATGACCTCAATTACATGGCCTAAATATTTTCTTTCCTCTGGGGATCAGAGCTACTCTAGAACCTGGAGCCTGACGTGATCCCACTGATGGGCCTAGGACTGTGAGGACGGGCTACTGGGAAAGCCAGAGAAAGCCCGAGCAATAATACTGGTTGGGAAAAGCAAGAGAAATCTGGTTTCCCACAGCACCCTGTAAGTGGAAGGGGAGCACCAAGGAGTGGACCTTCCTCACTCTGTGAGGGGGAGCCTCCACCTGCACCTCTGCTCAATGTGGATGTCTGCTTCGTATCTGTGGAAAGCAACCTCTGAAACTGGGCTTGCTAATTTTGTTTCCATGCAGCTTTCCCATCACATTACACAACAGACTTCAGGTAAGTAATTATTCTGTCCTAAAAAGGGAGCAGAGCCACAACAGTGATTCAGGGTGATTTTTCATTAACTGGCACACCTTTGAACCTTCTTTTTCAATTCAAGGATGATTAGTTTTACTTGTCAAATGTTACACATCATACTGGAATTTTATGTCACTGTTTTCCCCTTACCTTTTGACATTCTAGTTGGGTATCTAACGAAACCCACTGCTACAGTCTATTTATCTTTCTTGGTAATTGCTTTTTCATTCTGTGTGACTTTTATGTACTGATCAACAACCATTAAAAAAAAAACACAAACCAAAACAGGAAGGACACAGAATGGAAACGTAAATTTCCAGCTGAACAGAGGCACTGGAAGAATACTGCCAACCATTGCTTGGCTTTTACTCTGAGGTTACAGTTATTGAGAAGCCTACAGGAAAAACAGGAAGCACAAGACAGCCTATGTATTAGTGAATGTATGACCAGTTCTACAGTATACTGTGAAGAACAGTGCCAGGTAGTAAAACACCAGTTCCCTCTATAAGGACAGAATAAAAAACACCTATGTCTTTGGCAGGATATACTATTTACTACACATCACTCTTCCATGTCCTGGCTAATCTGTTCCCACAGATTTTTATTTATTTATTTACATAACAAGTAGCTTGGAGTAAAAGTTTTTAAAGCAGCACTTTGATTAAAAGAAACATGAGCTGAGAAGGAAGATGATGAACAATTAGGGATTGCACACTTCTACATGTCAGCTCAACAGGCACAAGGGAAGGAGAACAAAAAAACTACAGGCAAACTTTTGCAATCAATCAACACTATCCTACCCATCAAGGTTGGAGAGATACCAGTGAAACCTGCCCAAGTGCATGCCAAACACTACCAGAGAGACAAATTTTTCCTCAACTGGCTTTGTAACCTAAAAATGCAAAGGGAATCAGTTAAATTTGTCTTAGTTTTTTTAATGAATTAAATCTTTTTACGCAACAAGAAGTGGCACCAAGAAAGCTGTAGTTAGAGGCAGGAATTCCAGAAGAAAAGCCACCAAACTCTACATAGTGAGAGTCCAGGCCTACTTACAAAACAGACCTGATTTTCTGCATGTGAAGTACACAGGAACAGTTGAGAAGATAACACATGTACCCTGCCTGGAAATGCCACTACACACAAAGGCACTGCTGCATGTCCTTTTTAATTCAAAAGCTGTTTTAAGAGCTCTTCTCAAGAGACCATTTCCCACAGACAGCACCAACACAGCAGAAAGGACCTCTGCAACTGCTATGTTACTGCAGCAGTTTTTGGCTAGGTACACACATTCAAAGTGGATGAAGAAAGCTGTTCTTTTCATTAATCCTAAACACAGGAATCAATCCAGTTGGTTCAAGGGATAACACTGAATAAACAATAAAAGGAAATATGACAGAGCTTGAGCCTGCCCGTAAATGTTCTTCTGATTAGATGAACTAGTGGCCCACACACCCAGTCAGACAAGCCAACAAACCAAGTGAAACAAGGAAAAAGACCCAAACTTAGGAGCCAAATAAACATCATCGAGGAATGGCACAAGCCAAACCACTCCATATATACAGCTGAGAGGTTTATTATTATTAACAGTAATATAGAAAATCTTGCCTCATATATATTGAGCCATTCAGTTATACACAATTCCCTTTCAAAGCAAAGATCTGAGAAGTACTGGCCACCCTAATCACATGCATCTGCTAGTTACAAAGTCAAAACCAGATCTTTTCTTTTTTTAATCTATATGTATGTCTAAACATCACCACACTGCACTGGACACTATTTAAGTTGTTGTTTGTTGGGTTTTTTTGGGGGGTTTTTTTTTGGTTTTTTGTTTTTTTTTTTTTCTGTGTGACACTGGTCTCACTGTCATAATATGAGCATAGTATTTTTATTATGCCTTTATGTAAGAGGCTTTAAAAATTATTACAATTACACTTTGTAAAATAATGTTGTGAATTGGTCAAGCTGCTCACCTTTCTCTAAATCACTTTAATCTAGAACAGCAAACTAAGATCACAAAATTCAACTGAAGAGTATTCATCAAATACTGAGAAAACCTGGGATACCTAACGTCTGTCACAATCAGGAGAAGGATCAAGTTTGGACAGAGGATGGAGAATTTTAAAGACAGTCTAGCAGAAAGATGACATTGATGAATTGGGGAGAGTATTAATGAGGAAGAAAAAGCAGTGGCCACCAGATTCCAGCACACGCAGCTCTAAGCAGGACACAAGTGGAGGCAGACAACCGGTAGAGGAGCAAGAGAGTGGCAAATAAAAAGGAGTCATCTGAACGCCAAGGAGTTTCTGCCTGCTCTTTTGACAGCTGGTGAAACACAGAGCCAAAATCATATCTATCACTTCTGCTGCAGACTTGCTGGATGTCAGCACCCTTCTCAGTAGTGCTGTAGCATCTGCGAAGATTGAGAGGGACTGCTGCAGAGAACTAACCTGCTCCTAACCTGCATGAGGGGAGAAGTCACCAAAGACAGCAGAGCAGCCCAGGAAGGAGCCTTGGCCCCTTCTGCTCCTTCCCAGCTCCTGCCCAACGCCATGTGCTGAGTCTCACCCTCCTCAGAGCCTTCACTGACCCAATGCACCTCTCTAATCCAACAGAACACTATTCAGAGTTTTGTTCTTTGCTGGGCTAGCAAATTAAATCAGCTCCTGGCAGGCTGGCAAACCTCAGGCCAGGCTGACCTAAGCCCAGGCAGCTGCTGGCTGACTCAAACCCTCTCATCTAACTACCTAAAATGCCTGGAAGGCACAGAAAACCTACAACCATCATTAGGAAGGTTGGTAAATGTGGTTTTGCCCTAAACACAAGCTAACAATCGTTGTACACAGATGCTTACATGAAAATTTTAAGTTCTGTATATACTGACAGAACAGCTGGACAAACGCCACGATGAAGTTCAGCATAAAATCATTCTAGTTCTCCACAGTTAGAAAAGACACATTTTACAGCATTGGAAAGGTTCAGGGTAGCTAAAACGTTCACTTTTTTTTTTCCTCTGGCAGGATGAAAAAACAATCAAACTGACTTAGTCTAAAGGGAACTAGAAGTATAAACACTTTTTGGGGGGAGGGATAGGGGGTGGGAGAGGGTGTGAATAAAGGTTTAGAAAAATTACAAAATACTAAGGAAAAAAAAAAGCATTAAGGCACTATTAGAAATGAGAGCAGAGCTCAGGTTGGAATAGATGCTAACCTGATCTGTTTATTCTGCAATTCTAGATGAGATGATGAGGTCGGCACATTTGATGCAAGAGGTTCCTGAAGCTTGAGGACACCTGGTTGGAGGGGGAGAACAGTACCAGACCTCTAGGATCATCAAGTCCAACCACTTCCAAGGAAGGAGAAGTCCAGAGCAGAAAAGGGAGAATTTTTTTGAAAGCTCTGAGGTCACCATCAGTTTAAGTCTTAGGCAGCTTCTCTTGGAAGAATATAAAAGATTTCTTGGTAAATCTTCTCAATATTTGATTTTCTTAACGAACTACCTTAAAATGAAAAAAAAAAATCTAAACTAAATCTACATTTTTTTAAAAAAAATCTAGAAATTTTTCATTAGGCTAATGGATCAACGCTTTTGTGGAAGGAAAGAAATGCAATACTAAAAGCTCTTAACAGAAACACAGCTCAAGCTTGAAGGGCAGTAGTACAGACAGAGGTGCTGGCTGTCTGCTTCTCTGCTTGCACCTAGCAGACTAAGCTTGGTTGCTCAGCCTCTAATGGAAATGTTGCAACTGAAGGTGGTTTATTGATCCATGTTCAGAGTCCTGTCTGTCCTTTCTGCTCACATCCGCAACATTCAGAAAGTATTATAAAAAACCAATTCTTCTGTACCACTGGGCTGCCGTCTGGAATTAAAAAAAAAGTTAACATTGTAAGTCATGTCTGCTTCATGAAGTCAGGAGGAAGGCTCTGAGTGAGGTATAGTCAAGAAGATCAGCATTCGAGGCTCGTATCTAGTCCCCTGTAGAGTCAGTGGAGAACAAGGTGGAGGGGAAGCTCCTTAACCGAGCTTAATTTCTAAATACAGATTTGTTTCTTCTTTTTCCT